AGATGTTACTAGTAACAAACATCAATATCAAGGTCTAATCAAATGATCTTTGTCAAATCTCTTTTCCATTAAGCAATATCATTTCTGAAGCAAGATATCTTCTTTGTGTGATATCCGTTAAAAGGTGTATAGAGAATTTCAATGGATGACATATGTTTTCATCCCCAATAAGATAAGGCATTAAACTGTCTAAAAGTTCTACCAACAAATTAATTTGTTAAAATAGAAAAGTTTTCTATATATATATTCTAGTCTGGCTATCTTGAATTGACACCACTGTTTTCCTTATTTTCTCATAGCATAACACATTAATAGCCCTTTTCAATAGCTGTCATTCGAATCAATAAGGGCTTTGTTAAGAAGGGAAACAGATGACCAAAGTCAACCTTGACACAGTTTTGTCAAAATATTAGTTTTACAAGCTCATCAATTTAATAGTTGATTTGGCATGCAAACAGGTTTACTTCGAGTGCCACGAATGGGTTTTATGTGGACATACATGTGTAACGCGTCTGATGTAGTACAGTTGTAGGCCTGATATACATATTTTTTTAACATTACTTTCTAAAAACAAGAACAATATGTAAATTATAGTGTATCACTCTTCTTCATGATCAACCCAATCTTGTACCTCTGTCTCATCCCTAACAGCTTCAAGATGGTTTTGTTGTATCTTATTATCCTTCCCGATATCCAGTTGGTCTTCACCTCAACCCTCAGCATGGTGTGTTTTATTCCTTTGCTTATCTAAATTTCCAACATCTGCCTCGACTCTGACCTCATTGTCGTCTGTTTCAGTTTCTTTTCCAACAGCATATAATAATTCTGTGCCATCATTATTATCCTACCGTATAAACATAATCTTCACTTTTAAACTACAACTGGCAAAATACAATCTACACTTCGACGTAACTGGCTAAACGAAATCTTTCCTTCTAAACAACAACTGACTAAACCAAATGTACACTTCTTACATCAACAAAATTGCTATGCGCCGAATGAATAAGTAATTAAATTGTGTTTCACAATGTGTCATTTGGATACGAGAGTCAAGATATAGCAAAAGTCCCATACTTCACATGAAAATAAAATCTCAAAATTGTTCAGATGTGTCCTGTTCCCTATTATTAAACTTAATTGGTATGCATGTAAACAACTATCGGAAAATAAAGATCTAAAACCACTTGAAATTTTGATAGTAAATTGAGACACAAACGCATAGTATTTGTAACTTTAACAGTAATCTTATGTAGTGTCGTTTTCAGTCGTTCTTCCTTTTGAAGAAGTCTTCTTGTCGAGAATAAGACCCCTGCTAATCAATTCCATAAATGCATGTTATATGATCATGCACGGGCGTAAACCATCAATTGAGACATCTTGAAAAACCATTGTTTAATGAGATAATGTAGTTGATCTTGAAATTACGTATCGGTAAAAGTAGCTTACCTAGAGCGTAACAAAATATAAAAATGCTGACCTTATTGCACAATTTTAGAGACTCTAACTTTCACAACTAGTTGAATCAAAGCCATCATATTTTTTTCAAGGATATATTTGACTGTAGAAAGAATGATAGTCATAGTTTTAGAAAGAGTTTACTGGAACGTTTAGACGACATGGCTTAATATCGTGCGTTAGGGGAATTTTTGGTGAAATTAAGGATACTTAATTATAGATACTTGTTGTTAACTGTTTCATTTTGCAATCACGAAATACCTTGATTACAACAAAGAAATGCTAACTCATCAGAAGATCACGATAGTGTAGTCATTGTTTCTGAACGAACTCGATATATCCCGGGATCTAAAATAACTGTTGGCTCACTTACATTTTCTGTACATTCACTTTCCTCTATTTTTCCATCCAAGAGAATTCCATCATTTATTTGCAATCTTTCATCATATTGAACAATCTGCATATCTGCATTATCGAGTTTTTCACCATCTGTTACTTTACCGTTGACATCTGGAGTTTCGTTACTTTTTTTCTCTTCTTCATTTTCAACCCCATCTTGTACCACTGTCTCATCCATAACAGTTTTAGGATTGTTTTGTTGTATCTTGTCATCCTTTCCGATATCCAATTGGTCTTCACGTCTGACCTCATTATGATCTGCTTTATTTTTTTCCTCAACTGGCTTTCCAACATCTCCCTCGTCTCTGACCTTATTGTTTTCTGTTTCAAGTTCTGTTCCATCATCATCTAATAACTCTGTGCTATCTTCATCATCCTACAATATAAACAAAATCACCTTTCTAAGCAACAGCTGGCTAAACAAAATATATAGATATAAGAAGATGTGGTATGAGTGCAAATGAGACAACTCTCCATCCAAGTCAAATGCATTTTTAAATAAACATATGGTCATTTACACGTAATGGCAACCAATCCTTCAAACTATGAGAGCTTTGTGTTAAGCGGTCTCAGAGTAGTCCCGTTCACAAGGTGACACTTTTACAATAGTCCAAAAAATATTCAAAGTCCAATAAAAGTGGTTGGATCAAAATGACAGTAGATGATGGTAACCAATCCTTACAAATATGAGATGTTTCTGTAAATCGATCTCATAGGAATCACGTTCACAAGGTGTTATTGCGACACTACAGAAAAAAGTGTTCATAGTCTCATAACTTCCGTAACAATGTTCTGATAACAAATGGTCAACTACACATGATAGAAAGCAACAGTATCAAGTAAAAGAGCTTTCTGTCAAATGGTCTCAGAGAAGTTTTTTTCCATTCGTTTGATGTGTTTTAGCTTTTCATTTTGCCATTTGATTAGAAACTTTCCGTTTTGAATTTTCCTCGGAGTTCGTTTTTTATTTTTTTTATTTTTACTTTTTCACAGGGTGTTATTGTCACTGTACTTCCGTAAAAATACTTAGATCAAAAGGAAGTTAAAAAATTTAAAAAAATACACACGATTTTAAACAATTCTACGAAGGATGAGCGATATCTGTAAAACGGAACCAAATGGAGTTGCAATACAAGGTGTCATTGTATCAATACTAACAAAAATGGTCAATATCCCATAACGTCCGTAAAAATTGTCAAATCAAACTGACAATCAATGTCACAATCAAGAGAATATGACGACTAATAATCCGACCAAGTATGAGTGTACCTGATTACCAAATTGATATACATACAGTTTTTGCTGTTCTGTGTTAGCCGTTTTGGGTTTTATTCTCTCAAAATTTTTTATATTGATAGATTTTCAAACTTTCGGCCTTGAACGTACAATATAAGGTTATTCCAAACAAATTGTTGATATCAAACAAATCATATCAAATGGTTTTGATAATAGAAAATTGATCAATAAAATCACAACGTAAAATCTTATAACTACTATTTAAAATATGTATATTTAGTCATCTAACTAATAAGTACCTACTTCACAAAAACAAGAAAAACAGGATATAATCTCTAACACTGATAATGCTACTATAGCAACAAGGACTGTCATCTGTGGTGTCAGACCTAATGGTTCAAGTACTAACAGAGACAGAATTAAGGATGAAATAATACATAGACTTCTATACAAAATTGTGAACACATTTAACTGTTTTTATCAGCTAAACACACTTACGATATACTAACTTTGTTTCTTTAACACACTTTACATGAAATGGTTAAGTAAGTTATTTCATTCAAATTAAAAAAATAATAATATTTTCAATACATCACGCATAATTCTTTTTAACATTATTTCTATAACATCGAAAGATGATTATTAGAACTTCCTAAACAATGTCTATAACCAGCAACGTAGAATATGATATACTTTCAGAGAAATATGTGATGTTTTTATGAACATATTTCGTATTATTCTTACATCTGTTCCGAAAATATAACAGACGCTGAGATGTGTTCGTCCATTTCTAATCTAGTGGGGCCAGATGTTTTTAGCAGTGTATTTTTGTATTACAAAACTCACCCGGTTAAAATCCATAGTTATGCTTTACATCAATAAAACCCTACAACATGAAATATAATATTATAATTTTGTTTTTTAACTCTTAGGAAGTATTTTCCACAAAAATATTTTTAAAAATAAATGACTTACCTCTACTTATAATACATCGATATTCGCATAGTAGCCTGCAGATTAATTGTATATTAAATGACATCTCAATTATGTTTTCATATAGAAATTAGCTTTACATACATAATGTTATCCTTTCGGACTGATTTAACTTAATATTTCAAATATAAAAAGTGAAAATTCTAATTTTCTATATCTTGATTTAGACAAGTCGTTTCAATGTTTTTTTCAAACACAATTGTCACCTTAACTGCCATTCTATGATAGAGCCAGGCAGATGTTAATTCCAGAGGGTTCTCAGAATTTCATGAAATTTATTGTATGCATTGCATATACATTGAAGATATGAAATGTATTTTTTTTTTTTTTTTTTTTTAATTTGGGGGGTCTTTTAGGGGGCTTAATGTTTTCAGCCTAATTTTGGCGCAATTTTGCTTTACAAATGACAATTTTTTAATCCACTATTTGTCTGCCTATTGCACAACATCTGATTGTTTTCATAGTTTAAACAAGTTATTGTATAGTTAATTTGACTTTTCCATTCTTTTAGATATCTTATTTTTTTTCAAAAAAATATTTTGTTCAAGGGAGATAACCCATTACCTCAAAAAATTGAAAAAACCAAAAAAACATCACATTTTAAAATTGCAAAAAAAAATTTACGGACGCTTAAAATTTTATGAAATTGTTTGTTACTGAACATTTATCACCTATATTAAAATTAACTAAAAGATTTTACTCGGGTTCAAATTTATTTTCATCTAGTAGTAATTTCAAAATAGTGATTTTTTTATGAAATATTGGACATATTTTCTTCTGAATTTGGGTCTATCATATTATCAGAGTTTTAAATTTAAATTTTGTATTAACTAATGAATAAAACATACAAAACTGTTTTAAAAAGCATTAATATTCAAATAAATCAATAATGGATTGGATCCAAAATTAAAAAAAAATGATTGAATACCCCCCTTTTTTTATTAAAAAACCAACGTCATTATTAAGTCATTTAAATAGCCTGTTGTATACACTTAGTCACTAGTGCAAGTTTGCATGTATATTATTTGCTACCCACACTTTCTCTCTTTATCTAAGTTGGATGACCTTTATCAAAAATGTATTAGTATGATTTGGGAAAACAAGGGGGTGGGTGGGGAACTTATACATGTTTCAACCACGAAAGGATAGAATTTAATAAAACTTATGAACAGTCGATAAGTCTTTTTTATACATATAATCTGATTTTGCATATCTAAAACTACATTTTGAAAGTTTTTATGATTTAATGAATAATAACAAATAAAAATAAATGAAATACAAGTACAAGAAACAGAACAAAATTTTTAAATACATGTACATCATTTTCAAGCAACATTATCATGATTATCAAGCACATGTTAGAACAATTTTTTTTAAAGTGATTAAATAAGTCTTCAATACTATAAAGTTAATTGCAGACAGTATCAGAGATCCAGCATGACTAGTAATGTGAAGTAAATACCCATTACATAAATCATATAACTGTTCATGTTCTTTAACCTTTTTATACATCACTGGAAATGCCCAAGTCATAAAGATGCTAAACTTCAAGTGGTACCTTTGTATATAAAAAGAGTTGCTGGAGATATCTTTGATTTAAAGCTTGTGTATATATCAATTAAATTCAAAAGAGTGCTTAATAACAGAATGGAAATTACTTTTTAGAACAAATTATACATGTATACATGTTTGTACCAAATATTGTCCCCACTATGAAGGGTTAGAAATTTGCTATTCCTATACAAAAATAAAGTGTTACTAGAATGAGGTCAAGGTGAAAAAGCCATTCAGTTGTTTAGGAGGAGTTGCGGATAAGAGATGCTAGCCCTTAGCTTATTGGACTGAAAGATGGACAGAAAGATAGACAGACAAGAATGTTAACTAGAAACTTTAGTGATTAAAGACATAATGAACACATTGGCCTTAAGAATTTAAAGTGGTTCGGTTTATGACCCCTTCCATAGCTTTGTCAGTAGGTGTCTCAATAAATTTTCAAAGTGCAATAATTTTATAACAGCAAAAATAATAATCATGATAATTAATCATGTTAATAGAGATGTGCCATTTTATACATATACCAACATGACCAAAGGGAAACATTGTTTAATGCAATATTAGTTATTAATTTTTGCAGAAAATCCAGACTTTAATACAGAGATCTTGTTAGTGGGGGATTTAATATCATGGATATATTCTTTCCTTGAAATAAAGGAAATTAAATCCGCCACAAAAATTTCAGCTTTTATAGTATCAAGCAAAGAATTGTCAGACATAACAGTACAAGAGGAAGGCTGTGGATTTTCTATTAAATTTCAATATGTTTAGCATTGGAACAACAAAAATAAACATAATCCTTAAAGACATAATGAACACATTGGTCCTAAGATATTTGTTCAGTTACAGAGTCAACAATGTTCAAAGTCTCAATAGCATCTAACTCTGTTAGAACTTCATTCAAGTCATCATCAACTTCTGTTTTTAAGTTCAATTCTAATCCTGGATGTTCTGGGTTCTGTTTCTGTAGTTTTAATTGTAAGCTTGCAAATACACCTCTAACCTGTTGTGCTGAGACCCAATCATCAGGAGCAAATAATCTTCCACCTGCATCGTTTTTTTCATTTCGAATTTTATTTGCTACAGTAAGGGGATTTGCCTTTTTGCCAGTCCTCTCACCTTCATCAAAAATTTGTTTGATATAATCCTTAACTGAAGCCTTGAAACGCACAAATTTCCTTTCTGACTTTAAGGCCCACCCAGACTTAAGGTTTGATGGCATATCCATAAAATCTGCTCCAATAACAATATTATCCTCATCTTGTTGTTCATTATAGTTTATATTGGTACCATGGGTGCACTTCTCTGCCCAAACTTCCATGGCAACATCAGTTATTTTGTCATTTTCATGGTAAATATGTTGTCCAATGGCAAGATGTTGTTCTAGAGTGGAAGGTTTTCTAAACGACTTGACACACCCAGGAATTGTGCAACTTAAATCTCCATGCTCTACTGAATTATTCAACTTGAGTTTTGTTGGTCTTAAATTAAACGTTTCTTCACCATGTTCACAGGGCTCTTCTATAATCTGAAAATAAAAAAAATGGGAAATATTTGACATTACTGATTAAAAGCCATATCTTTATATCATGTTTATAAATCTGATATCTTCTATAACATACTTTAAAAAATTAATTTGTTAAAACTTTTTCATATATACAAATGGTATATCTACATGTTTTTTTTTTGTAATATTAAGAAAGTGACCAAACAGTCTGTAAATATATACAGGCTGTAAAGAGTCTGTATTTCTAACCTAGGTCTATGAGTAACTTCAACATTCATGACATTAGATACTTTCTTACATTGTGGACTTTAATAGAATTCATGAAAAAAATCTTTTTTTTTGGTATATCTTGTTTTGCTGCTAATTTTTTTTCTGTTTACAGTTTTTCTCTATTTTTTTTCGTTTTTGTCTCACTCTGAAATGCAAGAAATAGTAAGAAATATATCAATAAAGGTAATCACTAATTTATGACTATAACATGAACCAGGAGTAAAGCAACAATTACGGCAAACTTTGTAAATATTGACTTTTTGATCCTTTTTGCTATTTAAAGTGTCTATCTATCTTTTATAGTTTTCAAGATACATGCAGTAGTAAAAAAAAGTAAAATATTGGTAAAATTGTCATTAGCCCGGTGAGCTAAAAATGTTATCCAAGTACTAGTGTTAATGTTGTAAATGTTATCTGTATGTCTTGTTTGATTTGCTGTTCTTGTTGAGTCAAAGACACAAAACCTATTTACATACACAAACCTACCTTTATCCTACTCTCATCATAACTGAGGTTTCTGGAGATCTTTTCTAGTATAGTATTTGTGATGAGATATCCACTTCCTATACCAAATGCTTGATAGACTCTGATTCCTTGATCCTCAAAAACAAAGTTTGACATCTTGCTGATCTTGAAGTGTTTAATTGTCCCTATCAAAACAGGTGGGTTCTCAACTGAAATGTCAACTAGTGTTACAAAGGTATTTCTAACACCTTTGTTACTCTCTAGTGCTCTCTTCAAATCTGCTGGATTTTCAATATTATTTCCTTCATTAGCAAATTTTAGCACATGCATCCTACAAGTTCCCGTTCTAGAATCACACAAGTCTTTTCCACTCTGTACTTCACTGAAGTTGTATTCTTTTACCTGTAAATCAAACAGAGAATTGTTCTTCCAAATAAATGCCATCAACTGCAAGGAATGGTAGCAACCTGCATTGTCTGATTTAAGAAACACTTCTTGTAAATTTGGCTGCAAGGTTTTAATTCTTAACAAAACATCCTTTAATAACATGGATACTGACAACCAACCTTGAGTACCGCCCTGCAATATGTGAAGAAAGGAAACCAGGCTAACATTCCTTTCTATACAGTTTTCATGAATGTCATCAGGTTGCTTTGGTATTAATACAACTATCACATGCCAACTGATGCCTTGTTTGCCAAACCAATTTTGTTGTGATTCTCGAAAACTATGAGGTAAATACTTCATGGCCCAATCCATGATTATCAGGGCTTGATGGTTTTTCATGGTTTTTATTAATTCAGTTTTACTTGTTTCTTGGTTGATGGTTCTTACAACATGTGCTTTCCATTCTGATAACTTGCTACAAGATAGATCAAAATCATGTTCCATTTCAGATCTTAAATCAACTTCTATATCAGCTTCAGCAAGTGAATTTGAAATATCAGTTGTAACCTCTAAAACTGTGTTGCAAGGAGAACAGGTCTGGGTGTGTTCATGGCCACAAGATTCCTTAAAGTCCTTACTCTTATCATCTGTCAGAGCAAATGTAATACAATGATCAGCACAGTTTGAGTTTTTTTTCATATGAAGCTTCATGTCAAACTTTAAATGTTGATTCACCTTTGCAAGTTTGTTAAGCAGTTCTTTAGAAGCTTCATTAGAAAGCCCATTTTCTTCCAAGCGGTAGACAATTTTTTCAAGTGTTTCAATGGCCGTCATGCCATCTGCAGTATAACTATCAAGCCCCTTTAAAGATTTTTTTTGTGATGCAGCACACACTTTGACTATTTTGTATAATGTTGCTTTGGATGGTACAGCGATTTCTTGGTCTTCACAATAGGTTTCATATGCATTGATAATCCTTGAGGCAATCATAGTTCTTATCATTTTAGGTATCTTTATCTGCAGTCCAGATGATAAGTGAAGGGTTTTAGAACCATACCCTACTGCTTGCGAAAAAGATGGACTGAAAAGAAACTGAATAAAGTGTTGTATCTGAAACTTGGACATTCTAACTCGATGAATCTTTGGTGGGTTTATGATTTGCCCAGGACCATGAGTCGCAGCATATTTTCTTGCAGTATCAATCTTATACTTTGTCAATCCTGGAATTAGCTTACAGAGATCAGTCTTTTTAAAATTGTTCACAATCAAAGATAGAATTTGTATCTGACTCTGATGACCATCTGCTTTTGTATAGGCTTTTACTACAGCCTGGGTCAATGCATCTGCTTCTACTTTGTTTTCTGTTTTACTTGAATAATATTTTTTGGAAACTAATTTCATTAATTCGTCTGTCTGGTTTGGTGCAATACATTCAAATAAATACTGAACACACTCATTAGCTTTCTGTGTGATGTAATCACTCGTTGATTGATGAGTGTTGCTTAATGGTCGAGTCAAGGAGTACCGCAGTGGTTTAAAATTCCCATTAGACAGTATATCCATGCTTCTGTTCAGTTTATCACGAGTATATGTTGGAGGTTTCCATGAGTCTGTGCTAGTTAATTGTGATGACTGTGTACTTGACTGTGATGACTGTGTACTTGATATCTCTGCAAAATTATAAAAGATGTTTAATAAGAAAGTTGAACAAGACCTTGACTAGGTATCATTTTTTCAATCTCTATACACTACAAACTGCTGAGAGTCTAAAAAAAGACCATATGTTGTGCTCAATATTATCTCAGCAGTACTTAACTGTACTCGACTATGGTCTTGACTTTACTTAATAAATATTATTCAGTATTTAATAATCTTGGTGTAGTCTGAAATGGTCTCAACAAAAACTGAATTTAAATAGTCACTTTTAAATTTGATTATATAACTTTCTATGCCCTATTTATGGGCAATATGTTTTTCTGATCTGTGCCTCCGTTTATGTTTGTCTGTCCATCCTTTCGTTCTTTAGTCCGTCCTATTTGTCCCGCTTCAGGTTAAAGTTTTGGTCAAAGTAGTTTTTGATGAAGTTCTTAATACATAGTTATTGTCTGGAAACTGCAAAAACGCTTATTTGGGCCCCTTTTTTGGGGCCCTTATTCCTAAACTGTTGGGACCACAACCCCAAAAATCAATCCCAACCTTCCTTTTATGGTTATAAACCTTGTGTTAAAATTTCATAGATTTCTATTTACATATACTAAAGTTATTGTCCGGAAACCATCTGTCTTCGGACGACGTCACAACATGATACCAATACACGACCGCAAAATAAAAAGCTAGAATTTTCAGTTTGGACTAAATTTAGATAGTCATCATTAATTTTTTTTATAACTTTTTCAAAGCAACTTTCATAAAAATCTACAGCTATCATCATTTTATATTTATATTACAAGATACCACGCTATTTAGAAATTTTGTTTATTGCTGTCAAATTTAACTATTTGAATTATAGATATCTATCTGAATTGAGTCAAAACTGAAAATTTTAGTTTTTTATACCTATCAATCATGTTAACTAAGGCAGTGTTCACACCAAAAGCCATGTACAGTAAACATGTTTACAATTAGTTTAATGTAATGGACACTGGTTTCACATTAAATTTGTTCACATCTATACACCTTGTTTAATTGCCTGTACATAAGATTTGTTCACACTTGTAAACTATATGTCATTTAAATGTTCATTACGTAGAAACGAATGCAAAGTTTTCGGACAACTTTTCTAGCAGTAAGGGAACGACCATTTCACTTCAAACCAGATGCTCCGCAGGGCGCAGCTTGATACGACCGCAGAGGTCGAATCCTGAACAGTTGGGGCAAGTATGGACACAGCATTCAAGCTTGATACAGCTCTGAATTTGGATTGTGATTAAATATTTGACACAGCATAGGTTTCTGACACAGAATGAATGTGGTCTAAGAACTTAAAAATTTTAAATTGGACATTTACCTATTTTGTCTAATATCCAAAATCTAAATACATGGTTAGATTCAGCATATATCAAAAAACCCCAAGAATTCAATTTTTGATGAATTCAAACAAAAGTTTAATTTTGGGCGCTTTTGACCTCAATGTGGACCAATTTGATAACAGGGCCCAAAAATCAAAAATATAAATACATGGTTAAATTCAGCATATCAAAGAACCCCATATATCAAATTTTTGTTGAAATCAAACAAAGTTTAATTTTAGACCCCTATTTGGACCAACTTGAAAACTGGGCCCATAATAAAAAAACCCCAAGAATTCAATTTTGGTTAAAATCAAACTAGTTTAATTTTGGACCCTTTGGACCTTAATTCAGACCAATTTGAAAACGGGACCAAAAATTAAAAATCTAAATACAAGGTGAGATTCGTCATATCAAAGAACCCCAATAATTCATTATTTTATGAAATCAAACAAAGTTTAATTTTGGACCCTTTGGACCTCAATGTGGACCAATTTAAAAACGGGGCCCAAAATCCAAAAACTTAATACACGGTTAGATTAAGCATATTAAAGAACCCCAAGAATTCAATTTTTGTTAAAATCAAACTAAGTTTAATTTTGGACCCTTTGGACCTTAATGTAGACCAATTTGAAAAAGGGACCAAAAATTAAAAATCTGAATACACAGTTAGATTCGGCATATCAAAGAACCCCAATAATTCAATTTTTGATGAAATCAAACAAAGTTTAATTTTGGACCCTTTGGACCTCAATGTGGACCAATTTAAAATAGGGGCCCAAAACCCAAAACCTTAATACGCGGTTAGATTCAGCATATCAAAGAACCAAAAAGTTTAATTTTAGCAAAAAGGAAAAAAAAATCCCCCCCCCCCCAAATTTTTTGAACTCCCTTATGATTCATCAACCCCAAATTCAATCCCAGCCTTCCCTTTGTGGTGTGGTACCTTGCAGTACAATTTCAGAGAGATCCATACATTTGAACACAAGTAATTGTCTGGAAACTAGAAAAATGCTTGTTTTTTGGCCCCTTTTTGGCCCCAAATTCCTAAACGTTTAGGGGAATTATCCCCAAACTCAAACCCAGCTTTCCCTTTGTGATATGGAACCTTGTAGTACAATTTCATAAAGATCCATACAATAACACAAGTTATTGTCCTGAAACTAGAAAAAAGGCTTGTTTTTTGCCCCATTTTGGCCCCTAATTCCTAAAATTTTGAGGCAATTACCCCCAAAATCAATCCCATCCTTCCCTTTGTGGTATGGTACCTTGCAGTACAATTTCAGAGAGATCCATACACTTGAACACAAGTTATTGTCTGGAAACAAGAAAAATGCTTGTTTTTTGGCCCCTTTTTGGCCCCAAATTCCTAAAAGTTTAGGGCAATTACCCCCAAACTCAAACCCAGCTTTCCCTTTGTGATATGGAACCTTGCAGTACAATTTCATAAAGATCCATACACTTACACACAAGTTATTGTCCTGAAACTAGAAAAATGCTTGTTTTTTGCCCCATTTTGGCCCCTAATTCCTAAAATTTTGAGGCAATTACCCCCAAAATCAATCCCATTCTTCCCTTTGTGGTATGGTACCTTGCAGTACAATTTCAGAGAGATCCATACACTTGAACACAAGTTATTGTCTGGAAACAAGAAAAATGCTTATTTTTGGCCCCTTTTTCCTAAATTTTTTGGGCAATTACCCCAAACTCAATTCCAGCTTTCCCTTTGTGATAAGGAACCTTGAAGTACAATTTCAAAAAGATCCATACACTTACACACAAGTTATTGTCACGAAACGAGAAAAATGCTTGGTTTTTTTACCCCTTTTTTTGGCCCCTAACTCCTAAAATTTTGAGGCAATTACCCCCAAAATCAATCTCAGCATTCCCTTTGTGATATGGAACCTTGTGGTACAATGTCAGAGAGATCAATACACTAACAATAAACTTATTGTCTGGAAGTTACAAAAATGCTTATTTTTGGCCCCCTAATTCCTTAACTGTTGGTACCATAACCCCCAAAATCAATCCCAGCCTTCCCTTTGAGGTATTGAACCTCATGGTAAAATTTCATAGAGATCCATTCACTTAAACTTAAGTTATTGTTCGAAAACCAATGTGTCTTCGGACGACGACGAAGCCAACATCATACCAATATACGACCGCAAAATTTTTTGCGGCCGTATAAAAAGGGGATGGAAAATATT